GGGGGGGTCTCGAGCTTTTATGCTTTTATGTGTGACCGTGTTGCGAGTTTCTGAGAACCTTTGGTCAACCCTTTGAAGTCTTTAACCGTTTTCTCTAAAGCCTGACGACACCCACCAGCCCAGCTTTTTTGTGTTTGAAAACCGCAATCAGAAGCACTACTACCAAGTCAAAAAAGAAAGCGCCCGCGACCAACCAACCTTGACCACTTGAGAATTTGTTGAACTTCCTGCCCAAGTTCCTGGTCACCGCAAACTTACATAACCGGAAGGTGAATCACTAGAACAAGTTGCAGGAACGATGAACAAGTGACTTGTTCATCGTCCTGTTTCGGGCAAACAAGGGCTTTTCCTAGGGTTGGACTTTGCCTTTTCGTCGGCACAGGCCTTTGATGCCTTCGACTTGGATTTGGATTTGGCGGCCAGCAGGCGGGCGGGGTAGTTCACTGTAGCGAGCAGCCCGAACATGGAGAGAAACTTGGTAATGTAGACTCTTGACTCTTGATTAGTGTCAAACCCCGGCCCTATATGAAGAGGGCTTTTCAATTTCGTCAAGAGTCTACATTGCCACAGCATTGTGCACTTGATCAGGGCTCTGGGACCCAAGAAAATATTCTGGTGGAGTTTGCTGCAGAAAGAGTGGTTTTTGGAACAAAACATTGTTTTTGGAGTTTTTGGAAACATTTGAACAATTTTGGACGTGTTTCTTCTTCGGAAACTTTGGAATAAACTCAGGCAGCCACACTGACAAAAGTTTGGGACTGGAAAAGCTTTTGGGAAAGGTGCTGCAATCCATCTTGAACATTTGGGAACGAATTGTTTTCCTGTTTGTTATGTTGTGCAGTCGCGCCAGCGACTACCAAGGATTCATAGTCAGGTCATAGTCGCGACATGTCTAATTGAGAAGAGAGACAGTTCCACTTTGAGAGTATTGTCATTGTCTTGTTCAATGCTTCAGCCAAGAGTTCCCAGCAAGAGTAGATAAAAGAGTAGACGTTAGGCTTTAGGATGCCGTCTCTTTTTCATTCTTTGATGTTTGGATTATATGATGACTAATTGATTAGTATGAGATGACGTGCCGAAATGGAGATGGATAGCGACACAATCCTCGCCATGCGTGTTTGAAGTGCCACATACCGTTTGTTCAGCTTCAGAAGCTGCAATTGGCTCCAGCTGCCTAGTAGCCGAGCCCGAGGAACCAAGAGGACCATACCCAGAAGCCCCGATAGCCTGGGCAATTCTGGGTCCTCCACGTTAGGCATGTGTAAGACGACTTGAAACTGCCAATGCAATATGCTTGGTTGAAGATCCTCGAGAGGTCAACCGTTCAATGATGAGTTCGATACCAATTCTACCACCACAACCGCTCCCAAGAAGAACAACTGGAACATTGGTCACCTGACTGCCCAACGCCAGCTTCAAGCCACCAACGCCGCCCACCAGTGCAACTCCATACGGTCACAGCCTCCACCACCGCTGGCTGCGAAACCGAACACCCATCGCTCCTGCGCCTCCCGCGGCTCCGAAGACGAAAGCCATGAGCTCGTTGTCGTCGCTCTCCACGGACAATGGCATCGATTCCTTGGCGATCAGCGACCTGGGCCGATGTGGCGAGGGGAGAGAGGTGGGTCACAGTGATCTAATGTGGTTGTTGGAGCGCAACATCATCCAGAGACTTTTGTAGACGTCACTGCTGGGCCTTCTGGGTGGTAGATGTGAGATATGTGAGCCTTCTGGGTTGTAGATCTTGGCGCCAAGGGGCAAAGGGTCACATGTTGCCGGGTGAGCCGGGCGGGGTTACAAGTCTAAGTAAGTCTGTGTTGGAAAAGCTGCATACTTAAGCACGAACTCTTTGAACAACGTGTGCTTATAGTTGTGCATATATACACATGCTTTATCAATATATATATATATATACAGAAGTTGATGTGAGGTAGACAAGGTCAGTAGTAGTATGTAGTATATGTAGTAGTGAACTTCGATGAACAAGTAGCCTCTTCATCTACTGTAACTGCCCCTCCGAGGCACGCAGATTCTGCATGCGATGCAAGCCAAGCGTCAGCTCTCATTCCCGGTGCCGTTTTGCACCTTGAGTTGGGAGGCGCGGGCGCGAGCCAGCGGTTGTGGAGATGTTGTGATTGGTTACACTTCACAAGAAAAAGGCCGTGTTTGTTCACAAAGGGTCGGGAAGAACTTCGGAGCGCCTTTGCTCTATAGATAGATGTTCTTTGTGGCTTCCCATGCATGTGTTCTCCACCACTCAGCCTGTTGCGAAGTTTGGATGGCCGCATGGCTGCCAGACCATGGCTTGACCATGGCCTGACCTTTCCCCCGTTCGAATCCTACCAAAGGGGTACCGCCTTGGACCCACAAGCCTCAGGACCTGGAAGTGGCCTACCGGACGCCCCACGGGCGCCGGATCACGCTGCACCGTCAAGGAGGTTACGTCGAAGGCGACCGGGGGTGGACGTCGCGTCGCGACGAGACCGAAGGGAAGAGAGAGAAATCACCGGTACCCTTGGGTGGTTTTTGTTTGAGCTGGATGGGACCGGGAAAATTTGGAGGTATTCCGGCTGGTGACTGACTGTCCTTCGAACATGTTTTTACTTCACATTCAGCCATCACAAGTCATTGAAAAATCGCACTGTTTACAGCAATACTTTAAAGTTTAAAGGATTTTAAATGTAAAAGAACCATTGCCCATAAGAAAGGGCATGTACCAAAACTCACCCATCCTCCATCCTCCCTGCGTTTTCTTGCCGCCACTCTTGGGGTTCACTCCGCCCACCGGCTCTGACGAGGCGGCTGCATGATGGCGATCATGGGCGCCTCCGGCGCGGGGAAGAGCACCCTTTTAGACGCCTGGAGTGGTTTGGGATGGGGAGAAGGGTTTTGTTTGGAAGGTCCTTTGGGAGGGTGGGCTTTTGGGTGTTCCAGCAGGTTTGGAGCAATGACATGGCATGACCTATAATTACTGAGAAAAGGTTGTTCATGGCATGACCCAATATGACCTATACTCGGACTCCGACTGTTTTGATATGTTTTTGTCAAGAATCCACTAGATTCATGTCCAGACACATCCAGAGTGGGCCTTTTGGCAAAGAATGATCCTCAAAGCATCTCAAAGCTATTTAAGAATCTGGCTGATCCTCATTGATGTGCTCCAAAATTGGATCCCACAAGGCTACAAGGGTTTGAATCCTCCAACCTCCAAATGGATACTACATCATCATCAGTTCCAAAAAGTTGGTTTTAGACGTATTTTTGTCCGTGACAGGGGCACCCATACTAACTACCCTCCGTTCGTTCGACACCCCGGCATGGAACTGGTGGAACTCCTCCGGCCACATTTGTTGCACCGGTCGAAATTCTTTGGGTCCTTCATTCTCATTCGACTGAATTCACGGCCGACATTCCACAGATTCATGGCCGACATGATTCATGCCATTCCTGTTCCGCGGTCATTCCTTCTCTCATTGAGAGACTCGGCTTCATGTCGAGGGGTGCCGGAACCGTTTGGCCCATCCTTCGCGCCGACCGACCGATCCTCAGCACACCCAGCACACCCCGAGGACACCCTGACGAAGCGGAAGACGCTGGGTGAGGTCTCAGGCCGGGCGAGGAGGGGGGAGGCTTCCTTCACTCATCACGGCGGCACACCATCGCATGCCCTGCCATTGGAAGTGGATGGATAAAGTGGCACAGAAATGGATGACCATTTTCCGATGACCAAACAGGTGGTGAACTTCCATGATGAGTTCTGGGAGTGGGTTTCATCGAGGAGAATGGTGAGTAATTGTATACCCTCTCTCCAAGCATGGAAGTGCACGTTTTAGACCTTTTGGAAGAGACGTTCCGTAGAAATACGGGGATGATCGGATGGTTCCACTTCCATTCTTCCTGGACGGGGAGTTCTTTTTCTTCAACTAACAGTGATGAAGTTGAGCAAGATGGCCTGCGGCAGCAAATGAGACGTTCGGGCTTTGTTTCTCTTGAACTTGGGCATGACATGAGCTTGAGAACAGCACCTGATCCTTTCCAACTCTATTTGGCAGAGATGGTTGCTTTCAAGCTGCCGTTGATGCTTCACCCCCACCAACCCATGCAAACACCCACTGCAAATAGAAGGAAAGGAGGAGTGGTATCAGTGATAGTCGGAGGATGTTGGGGGACACTTCAGTCCTAGCCACCTCACTTGCAGGCAAGGTCTATGTGAATGGACGGCCGCAGGATGAGCTTCTCGGTCTGGACATCAACCATCATCAATCCGTTTGGATATGTGTGGATGGATGAGGACACCATAAACTTGAAGAACCCTTTGCCAAGAGCTCCCAGTGCTAGAGTCGGCCAAAGCAGTTGTTTTCCAATCATGGGTAGGTCTTCCATGTTTATTTGTTGCATGGTGGGCAATTATGTCCTTTCAAGGCTATAGGGTGAGGGCAGCAGGAGTCATGCAAAAGCCAATGACTAGGGGCGAAGCACACCGGACACGCATTTCAGCGTTTGAGGCATTTCTTTTTCGCCTCAGCATATGTGCCGCAGGACCGTGAGCTGGGGAGGGAAGGCAGCCTGGGTTTCTTGATGTGCTGCGTGTGAATTGGATCCCAGCTCTGTGGCTGAAACCTGGTAGGTACATTATTATAACGGACGGTTGCATGGACAACATGTCCTTTACAACATGTAGCGCTTGAATTGTCAGTGTGTCCATTTCTCCCCTCTTGTGGGTCTGTCAGACACTAGCGAAAGATCCTAACCCTGCAGGAAGAGAATCTGGTCTCAACAAACACTGCCCTTTGGATGCAA